TTTGTTGCCACATGTCGTTCCCCGGTGCAGTCATCCATCTTCTCCAATTTGACAGACAGCTTTTGGGTGACAGTATATTTGATTTCTACTACGTAATCAATCACCCGATCGACAGGCTTATTCGTTTGCGTAGAGTATAAATAAACCATTTTTATGCTTTTTCAGTTTTTAGTAAAAGCTGTTTATAATTATTTAATGTGAGAGCAACTGCTGCTGAACAGTGGAAGGTAGAGCGACGATCATTGCGTCATGCGAACAGGGTTATTGAATCCAGGTAGCTGCATACCTTCCGGTTGCTTTCGAAGGAAACAGAGCCTGGGTCCCATCACGATATGACCAGTAGAGTCAAGAGCAGCAGAAGTCAAGGCCCTTCATGGTTGATCACTGCTCTCAGTACGATTCCGCAACAAGCTCACCTCCAGCGTTGCTATGTCAGATTGAGACCGGCTGTATTAAAATGCCTTTATCTAACCCTTAACACCACTCGCAGAGTCCCCAAGGTCTCCTCACTGGGTCAGCGACAGCTGAAAATCATAAAATACCAGAAGAACGAACGGCAGTGTCGTGCCATCGCTGCCATTTGTTACTCGCTGTTATTGTCTATACATCGATCTCGTAGCACATGCTTTGACGTCAACTGCCAAGCCGCTGCGCTTAGTCATTTTTAGTAAACGACCTCACTGAGGAACGAAAGCGGAAACGTGACACATGACGTCAGCTGTTAGCTTCGGGCGGAACAACGATGAACAAAAGAGTGCAGAAATTTCTGGAAAAGTGTTAGTACTCGACGCAGAAGCAAGCGGCTCTTGGAGCACACAAAATACGTGTCGTACGCTTCCTAAGCAACAGACCAACGGAGGAAGGAGTGAAGGTCCCGAGTCACAGCTGGACTGACATCATTTCGCACAAAGCCTTATGCAAGCAATGCGACTCCAAATAATCATTTTTAGCTTTTGTCTTTCACAATTTTATTCCCTTGGTTGTCGACCGAAGCACATTATGCGTCGACAGAGAGAACGGCCCAGATCTCCGGTGGTGCTCGGTAAGCATCTGTCTCTGTGTCAGCTAATTCCACAGGTTTATTGAATTGCAGTGCCGGGAGATGGCGGAAACCAGTTGGAAGCGAAACTGGACAAACCTTCGGTGGTGCATTACCTGTGCGAGAAAAAGTCCAAAGATTACTTTACTCTGTGGATGAACCTAGAAATAGTTCTGCCGATTGTTATCGACTGTTGGATAGACAACATGAGGTAGCTGCCGCTCATGCTATCCTCTGTATATTGTGAGCAGCGCACTGTTTGAAGGCTTGTTTACAACGAAACAACGCATACGACGATGAACAGTCCAGGGGTCAGCATTCGAATACCCGGATGGGGGGACACAGCAACCGTGGAGTGGATCGATCCGAGCAGAATCAGCCTCGGAAACTATTTCGTCAGCTTAGTAGAAACGTTGGTATCACTTGGCTACGAAAGGAACGTCAGCGTTCGCGGTGCACCGTACGATTTTCGCAAGGCCCCAAGTAGGTGAAGGTTTGTATAGGTTGAATACTATTTGACGTAAAGTGACTTTTCAGACGACAATCAACAGTACTTTGAGGATCTTACGAAACTGATAGAAGACACGTACTACTTGAATAACGAATCCAAAGTGGTTACCATTGGACATAGCATGGGAAACGCGTACATGCTGTACTTTTTCAGTAGAAAAAGTCAGGTAAACGCTGTCTTATCCTTCGTTTTCAGAAGGTGTTTTGTCTTCGAGTCACCTCTGCGTCTCATCTTACTCGTTTGCCGCGCATTAATTCTGGAGGGGGGGTCGGTGCAGTGGGTTGATAGTTTGCTTTGCACTTTAGAGGTGTCGAATTAGAGCCCCAAGGTGTGGCGTACATCTTTTAACAAACGTGGTCCTTTTCTGAGATGCCCAGTAAGGTACTGTCTGGCTGGTTGGAGCACTTTCCATAGTCCCTCTTCTTGAGGAACTGTGTATTTATCATCCCAATTATACAGTCCACTGGTATCTTCCCCGCAGTCACTGCAGTTTGACAGACATGCGTTAACCACAACGTTTACTGTTCGTTGAATCCTTTAGGCATCTCGCGGAGGATTTCGCCGATTCGAGAAACATTGTACTTTTCAATTTTTTTACAGGTTCTGTGACTTCATCTACTGAAATGATAATATCCGTTGTCTACTGCTCTTCAAGCGAGTGATTTTGCGGCTACTTGCTGTTTCACAGTTCCGCAAGGTACTCTCTGCATTTCCTCTTCGTTGGTAGCAATGTTTCCAAACTTTTCCGTCAGGACCTTGAGATCACCCATCTTGGAGACAGCGGTGTGCAAGAATACTTTATTTTTCGTGTGGAAATTCGACCTCAGCACCTTACCAACTTACACCATGACTCAACCTTCGGTTTGATGACTGCTTTTCCTGCGGCCTTGCGCACTTCCTGGTATCGCATTTTAACAGAAGGCTCTATGTAACCAAGTCACCCGTTAAGTGCGGCTTTCTTCTGAGTCCAGCTAAGCCTCTAATAAGTTCGTCTCAGGCGCGAAGATGGCAGCACAACCTGTTGTAAACTGCAGCATTCTGCCGCTGCTCCGAGTAAACCACTTTCAAAGAGCAATCACTTGGTTTCCAAGTCATCCGTCATCTCTGGCATCTCTGCCAGCCGTTGCACAATGTTATTTGCTAGCTTTGGTCTCGCATCCGCAGACGATGGTATTTCCCGTTTGATTTTTTGGATGCATCCGTCGCCGGGTCTTCTACATGCTTACTCCATCGTTTAGACGATAAGATCATCAAATCAAATCGATCACTGACTTCTGTGGAAAGCCTTTGCTATACTAGGTATGCTGATACACGTTTCGATCCTGGAAGAAGTTTTCATAACAGGCAGTCTCTTGCTTACACATATGCAGCAACTTTATGCGTTTTTGTTGAGGTCACTGTGGCTGTTCTTTCCAATCGCGTCTTTCCACTTTTCGGTGTCTACTCCATCACGTTATTGAAATCTCCCTTTAGAATGATGGAATCAGTAATCTGCACTTCTTGATGCATCTACTAGTTCATTTTCCTTCCTCGAGGAAGGACTTACGGCATTCCTCCAAATTCTGTACATTGACCTGTAACATTGTGAAAGTTCTAGGCTGTTATGGCTTTAATCAGATGATTGGCACTCTTAAGTTGACTACCTACTATTCAATGATTCTGGCTGTCACATTTGATTCTACCAATACGCCAATACCGGTCTGTGAGGGAATCTTTGAGTCAAACCTGAGTTGACTAGCTTCCATCCGCTGAGGTTCAGAATGTTCAGAATTTCAGAGCCGTGACGCATCGTCGACGAGCGTCCAATTATGTCCAGTCGGTACTTTGCAGTCTCATCAACTAGCGCCTGTTCTTTCCCTCTGAGTTAGTAATGTTCCAGTTTGCGGCTATGCGCTCTTATTATCGATATCTTTTCCATGGGACCTTCTCTGACGCGTTATGATTGTACAACACTCCATACCTCCTCCTTTCAGAACGGATACCTTAGTCCTCTTCGTGTAGATCGTCTACAATCGTCACCTTATTGCACATTCAACTGTCATACAACGAGCAACAGGTTCTGATCGCCGACTTTTCAAGTCTTACTCAGTTTCCCAATAATCTGAGCGGTTTTTAGCATCCCGGGTGACGATAGAGCCGGCCCTGGCATTCGTTCGAGGGCAGCAGCAATACCGTGAGGAGGAGGCTGATATATTTTACTGAAATTCTAACGACGGATCACCCAGGTTGGGACCGGCAACGACGGAGTTACCTCAGCACTCGTACTCTAAAAAATTTCGAGCTCTAAATATCCTTGAACGAAGAACACGTGTCAGCCAAAAAAATATTATCAGTAAGCGACTGACTTACGAACAAGGCGGATTGAATACTGCTCTGGTTGGTTCTTAAAGCCATCATTTACATTATCCCATCTTTTTGCTGATCTTGCAGGGTCACAGTCAGTTGCAGCACAGGATCCTATCTGAAAAGGAGAAGAACATAGTGACTTTTGCGAACTTATTTGAATGTGTACTTCTGACGTCTGAGAATCAAGTTTGAGGCTGCAATCATTGAATGGTAATTAATTAGTGTGGGAGTAAGATCAACTATTGCATTCGTGAGCAGAAAGTTGTTTTTCAAACTGAGGACACCCTCTCGCTTATTATTAGCATTATTTACACAGAAGAAGGCGATGGTTCTTGGCATAGTCTTTTAAATGAATTTCACAGACACTCTACGGGCTAGTTCCACTGAGTTAAAACATTTTCATTTTAATACGCATTTGAAACACATCCACAGTAATAGATTTAAATTGGAAATTTATAAAGTAGCATTAAAATCTGAACCCATTATGTTTCTCATTCATTTATTTCTAATGCCTTCAGTTCCTCTAAGGAGTAGGGAAGAGGGGGCAGCCGATTTAGGAAGTTTTCAAATTGTCCCGCTGCTCCGTCAATCTGATAAGCTCCATTTCTATTAATTAAAGTAAAAATAGCCCTCGACATATATAACATAATTTTGACTACATAGACGATTTTCAGGAATGGAAGGACAAATTCATAAGAGCCCATGTCAGCATAGCTGGACCTTACGGTGGTTCAATAAAAATCGTCAAGGCTTTCGCATCGGGTAAATCCATCAAATCTCAGATATGCTTAAATAATGCCAGCGAATTAGGTTACAACTTGGAGCAATGGCGAATCATACTGCCGCCGCTGAAAGTGAGGAAGGAGCAGCGAACGATGACCAGTTCGAGCTTCCTTCTTCCTACGCGCGAAGTTTGGAACGACGACGTACTTGTGGTGACGGCCAATCGAAATTACACGTCCCATGATTACGAACAGTTTTTCAAAGACATTGGATTTCCTACCGGTTGGCAGATGTATCAAGATACAAGAAATCTGATTAGTGATTTACCGGCGCCTGGCGTTGAGGTAAGAGATCTGACAGA